TCAGATATGTCAACATTGCTTCTTCTAAGCTTTTCAACTTTCATGGTGTTTACATGATAAGATGTTGATTTGGATGATAGCATTCCTCTGTCTTCATCTACCTTCTCAAAGCATCCAATACTCCCTGCTTGCTTGATTTCTTCCATGTACTCCTCTATTATATCTCTCCTAACCTATAAATTAAGCATACACATCAAGCTTTTCTCAATATATATATTTGTGTGCTTGCATCTGAAGGTTCAATATAAAGCAAAGGAGAAGGTTTCTAAGACCAAATGGCAAATCGCAGTACTGCATGTAGGAAACAGACAAACTTATGTACAAAACTATAATTTCTACGAAAGTCATGTTTGATTTATTTGTTACTCAAGGTGGAAACTGGAGTAACTAAACCACAACAAATTGTGTTTTAATTGCACATCTAAAACTAACATAAAAATTAGAATTGGAGTTAGAAAGGAATTGAATAAAAGATGAACCAAATGAGCTGTGAAAATATATAGGAACTAGGAAAATTTTTTAGTTTCTTTTTGAAGGAAATTTCAGAGAGAACCAGGGTATTAATACTGGCAAAACCATCTGGGCATTCAGTTGGAATTATGATACAATGAAAATAACTAAGTACATGAAAAATTCAAAATTTCTTTTGAATACTTTGGCAGACCCTCTGGCTCACTACGTAACTTATGTGTGACTTACTTAGCAACTCAATTCCCAACAGCAATGCAGCCTCTGCACTTTGTGCAACATCTGAAGAATTAGAACCAGACATGAAACATCTTCCCAACTGAGAGCTACTAAAAGGTGGAAGTTCCCACAGAAAAAAAGCAACAAAGAAGAATAGAGAAGACTTCAAGACGTATCATTTGATAAAAGATTATGTCAATTCTTTAATATACTTAGACCATGGTCTTAAATTCAAACACAACCCATGCATGACTTGGGAAATATTAATTTGGAAAATGAAAAATCAATACCTGGTTAGATGTTTGTCATCGCGGGAGCCCATCATGCTCAATGATAGCCTTATAATTGGAATGGTTTTTCCGCTCCTCTTCAGCTCTGATTGATAGAATATCATGTTCAGTCATTCTAAGAATCAAGGCAACCAACATTTATGAGTATATTCCTTACAACTCAAAATATTACAAGATGTACATGTTCTAAACAATATCAGTATTACAAAGCAATAACAATAATAGAAAAGTTAGTTGTCCAATTACAATCAAGTATTAATGGTTCAAACAATACCATTATCATAAGTAAGAGAATAAAGTAAACATGAAATTTGCATTTGTAGCAGTGCTAAATAAACTACATGCAAGCAGTTAAAATGAAAAATCATCATTTAAATACGAAAATAAACGCTAAAAGTTCACAAAGTAAATAAAGCAAAGCATATATAAGAGAAAATCATAAAAGAAAGATAACGAACCGCTGGTATCTCGTTACTGGTTGACTAAACCGCAATTCCCTGATCTTTTCTTCAAGAAGGGACCTTTCGTGCAATGCTGCAATGGCTGCAGCTACTTGAGACACAAAAACCACACCTTTGACAACAGATCCTTCCATTCTTTTCTTCAGTTCACACTTTCCACCTTTTTCGAGTGGCTCTTCCTGTTTCATATCCTCAATCTGTATGCCATTATTTTTTAATCTCTCAAATCCTTCTGTTGATTTAGGAATGTCAATCACCTGTTTTTCCCACGGAGACAACGACAACCGTGATGCAGATTCTGTTATACATTGCCTAAGAATATCAATGGAAAAGAACTTTCCATTAACGTTCCCATATAAAACTGAAAGTTTAGAGACAAACCATGTTAACACTTGAACCAGAACAGGACAGTTAAACCTTTTATACTTCAAATTCATCTCTGGTTATTTCCCTTTTAATTCAGCACCTTTCATGGCTGTTTCTACCAAACCAAATGCTTCCCTTACGATTGCTTTAATACACAATCGAAACAGGACCGATATATGATCCCTCATGTACACATCAATTATAACTCCATAGCGTGGAGAATTAGCTATTAGCCATTTCCTCAAATCGCCCTCATCAACCATTTTCAACCCCAAAAAGGCGCAGAGAACATTAAAAGAAAATGTATAGAGATAATCCGCCCAGAAATCTGATGGCAATACACTAAAGCCCTCGATGTCAAAACAATTCACCTCTTTCTCACCAAAATCTACAAAATTAGCGCATTCAACAGATAAAACCCTAGGCAATTGAAAGGTCCTCCTTATACCATCAACCTCATAGAAGTTGACAACACCTGGACAATCTTTATAAAAAAAATTAGACCCAAAATTTACGTAATCATCCAAAGAGAAGCAGAATCGCCGGCGTTTTCTAGAGACTGAATAAAGTGAGTCTCGTGTTGTAATTCGGAAGATGACTTGAAGGAACTTGGGAAATGCAAAGAAGCAACGAGGGGAGTGAGGTCAAGAGGAGACGGGCAGTGAAAGGAGTGGAGGAAGAGAGACTCAGTTGGCATGAGATGGTGAGAATTGACGGGGCAAGCGACGAGATTGTCATTTCCGGGTTTCGGGAGGAGAGAATGAGGGTTTAGGGAAAGGATTTTAGAGGAGTCGAGGGTTTGGTGTGGGTGCGAGATGGGGGTTTTGAGAGAAGAGAGAGCTGCAGAGAGATCGGGAACTGGAGGAGTGGGAAGATTAGGCCTTATTTGATGATTGTTCATGAAAAAATTTTCATGATATTTTTTTTTCTGTTTGTTTGCATTTGTAAATACATTGTACAATTTTTTCTGTAGTTAAATTATAATTCTCAAAACTATGATTTTTTTTTAAAAAAAATTATAAATTTCATAATTTTGTGATAATTTGATAATATTTTTTATTATTTACAACATTATTCTTCTCTTTAATTTCTTCTGTTCAACATTTCTTATATTCTTTTTCTTATTTTTAAAATATTATATATATATATATTTAATTACATATATATTTTTTATATATAAATATCTATTTATATTTTTAATTATATATCCATATTTATAATATATTTAATTATATAGTTTTATATATACATATATTTATATATTTAATTATATATATTTTATTACATATATACATAAATTTATATATATATATATATTTAATTATATATAAATATATATATAATATATTTAATTATATATATATTTTATCATATATATGTATTTATATTTTTACTGATACATTATACATGTATATAATATTTTAATTATATCAATTTTATTTATACACATATTGTAAAGTTCTAGAATTTAAAAAAAATAAAGTTATAAATTAAATGTGGAACAAAAATAATAGAGTTAATGTAATGTACAGTCCCAAAATTTAGTCCGACATTAATTTTAAAATTAAAAAAAAATATATAAAAATATAAAATTTAAATTTATAACTTTTTACTTAATGTAAAATTAGAAAAAAATAGGTAAATGATGAAATTAAAAATAATTTTAGGAAAAAAAAGATGAAAATTTGGGTTCGGGGGATATTTTTGAAAGAAAAATCAGAAAAACTGGAGTCAAAACACAATTAAGAAAAAATGCCCAGTCAGCAGCCCCGACGAACCAGAGTGCGCTGCGTGGTAAGGTACGCTGACTCGATGCCACACGCGATGAACGATCCATATTTAAGAGAGATGTATATAAATATCTTACTTCACACCAAATCCAAACCCTAACCACCAGCCCCTCGTCGGAGAAGGAAGCCGACCGCCATCCGCCTTTGTGCCGGAGCCACCTCCAACCGCCAAAAAAGGTAAAAATTCTTCTATTCGCTTGGAATTTGATTTTGAACACCCCCATGGCCAAATCGAAGCAAAAAGAATGGTGGATGAGTTAGAAACCACATGTAAAGTCCAGCAGTGCTGCCGCAAAAAAAAACCAAAAATTGCATCCGATGAGCCCCTTTCTATTTCCCATTTCGTGTGATTTTTCCACCATTGTGTTCACCATTCTATTTTTTACAAGTTGACGAAGAAAAACCGCCAGCCACGAAGGTGAGTCGGTGGAGCCGCCACTGAAAAATTCCGCTGTTGGTAAGTTTTTGTCTTTCGATTTTTTTGGGCTAACTGAGGCCCCTTAAAGTATTTTCTCGCAAGAATGAGTATAAAACCGATCGAAACCAGCTAAAATTGGCCGAAAATAGCCAGTCTAAGGCAAATAACCGCTGCAGACGGTGGTGCTGTCGCTGAAGCACGATGGTGCTGTTGTGCTGAAATTTCAAAATTAGCCAGAAAAGATTTTTAACACCGATTTTGGATTTTTAGGGGTATTTTTAGGTACGTGAAGCATGTTTTTACTTATGTAAAAAAATTTAGAAAACCCGGGAATCGCTAGTAGACGCAGTAAAAAGTTCAATATTTGGGATACCGATTCGAATAAGAATCTCTCACCTTATTTACTGTTATGGAATTGAAGTCTAATTATCAATAATACGGTATTTTATGTAATTTAAAAAGTTTCGAGAATTAATTACAGGTTACTAATAGAGGCATAACCGGTTATTTATTATTATTGTCTTATTTAACCGATTGTTTGATTTTATAGCTTTAAATACACGATAATATACAAAAATTGGTAAAATGATTCAGTTGTATTTTCTTGATGCATGTATTGTTTGTCTTGCATTGATTTACATTTACATTGTGAAACTGAAAATTAAATGTAAACAGAAAATTGATTGGTTAAGTGAATGAATGAATGGTAGCCTTACTGGATATCCTGAGATGGTGGACGGATCGAGTACACAGGGAACCCTACCGTGAACGTCGCCTCATACCAGACGGGGTATCAAGGATTGGTATTTTTAGCGCTCATACCGAATGAGGTTTGAGGGTGTCCCATTTCACCCTCATACTAGACGGGGTATTGAGGGATGGTATTTTTGGCACTCATACCGGACGGGGTATGAAGACGGCCGGTTAGTTGACAAGGTTAGATGTTGGTTCACGCGTAGTGGAACATTTCTATGGACCCCAATGGATACCAGTAGACAAATAAAACGAAAAAATTGTTATTTTTAGTTACTTGAATATGAGATTATGATGTTGTTGAGCTATTATCTCTATAGGTCGATTTTGAAAATCTCGCAACAGTAAGTATGCAATAAGTGATTTTATTTATGATAAATGAATTTACTTAAATTAAGAGCTCCATTGGTTGTTTTTATGATTTTTACTAACCTTCATTTTCTGTATCGATAAGTAGTGTAATATTCTTACTGAGCTAGTGTAGCTCATTCCTTCATTAACTATTTCAGATCAAGAGGATCAAGACCCAGATCCCGATCAATAAGAGAGTTATGAATAGTTCACCACCCGGACTCCTACAAAAGCTAGTGAAAGTCATTCTAAGATGCTCAGTGTAGCGCCCGGAAAGGGGCCGAAAAAAAAAGCCACGTCGGCAGCCACGTCAGCAGGCCCGGTCAGCAGTCCCGGCCAACCGGGATCTGCCACGTGGCAAGACCACGTCGTTTCGGAATGGGCCACGTTGGCGATCCGCGTAGGCGCGATCGGACGGCCCAGATCAAGCGTGCGATCGGACGGTCCAGATGAAATCACACGGACGGCCCAGATTCAATCAAAAACGGACTGCCCAGATTAAAACAAAATGGACGGCTGAGATCAAAAGGCAAAGAGTTATAAATAGAACCCCCACACAAGACCACAAACCCTAGCCGCCTGCCGCTCGCCGGAGAAGACGAACCAGAAGCCGGACGCCGCCACCCGCCGCCGCACCGGGGAAATTTTTGACCGCCGATCGAGGTAAATTTCGTACCCCCGACTCGTTTTTCTACGCTGATTCCTCCTGTGGCCAAATCGGAGCTGAAATCCCGGCGAAACGGCAGGAATACACGGCCGAAGCCCAGCGGCGCCGCCGCGCCCCTTCTCAGTTTTTGCCTCCGATGAGGCCCTTCCCGGCCTCCGTTTGATGCAATTTTTATATCACCGTGATCACCATTCTTTTCTCTACAGGTTGACCGGAGCCGAATCACCAAAACACGAACCTCGCCGGAGAGCCGCCGCACCCGAGAGCGCCGCCGCCGGTAAGCTCCATTTTTCCGTGATTTTTTGGCCCCCCGAGGGCCCTAGGGTTGTTTTCTCGCAGGGACCGATGCCAGTGTGGCCGAATTCGGCTAGAAACGGCCAAAAACAGCCAGCCCGAGGCGAATCGCCGCCGCCAGCGGCGGTGCCGTCGCCGGAGCACGGCGGAGCCGCCGTGCCGGAGTTGCGATATTGGCCGAAAGGGGCCTTGGGCCTAATTTGGGATTTTTTTGGAACACGTGCAGGTACCAGTAGTGCGTTTCAGTTCCCCGAGAAAAAATTCAGGGAAAATTAGGGACAGCCTGTAGGCGCACTGTGAAGCCGTGTTCGGACCCCGAAACGTGTAAGGACCCCTCACATTATTTCCTATCACGGTTTTAAAGTTCAATAAATGATAAAACGGTATTTCATGAATCAACGAATGTGTGAAATTGCTTAAGGTCGCTAATAGAGCCCAAGTCTAGTGTATTTGTCGGTTAACTGTTATTTGGCCTGTTTTACAGTTTTAAATGCAGCATGAGGTTCGATGTTTTCATTTTATAGTTTCGTGTGCATATTTTACTGTTTTATTGATTATGGATTAAATGACCGGAATATTGATGCTGTATGTTGTCTGTTTAGCATAAATTACTGTTTGCTTGCTTGTATGTGGATTAATGATGCTGACTGAGGAAAAAGAGAATGAAAAATTATGTAAATGGGTAATGGTATAATGTGGTCAGCCTGACTAGATATCCTGGGAGATGATGGACGGACCGGGTCCGTAGGGAACCCTACCGGGATTGTGGTCTCCCATACCGGACGGGGTATAGAGATCTTATGTGTTTTGGCGCCCATATCGGACGGGGTATGGGGACGACCCGTTTCACCCTCATACCGGACGGGGTAATGAGGTCTATGTTTTGGCGTCCATACCGGACGGGGTATGGGGACGGCCCGTTTCACCCTCATACCGGACGGGGTAATGAGGTCTATGGTTTGGCGCCCATACCGGACGAGGTATGGGGACGGCCCTGGAATGGATTTCAAGTGTTAAGGATTAACGGGTAGCGGGACCCCTATGGATCCCCATGGATACTAGTGGGCTGGTGAATCAGGAAAATATGTTGTGTAACGATTGAATTACGAAAAGTTTGATAGGTATTATGTTATACAGTTCATATATATGTTTTCATGATGATGATGATGTTATTGCTTTCATATATTGTTTTATGAATTTCACCGAGGTAAGTGAATGGTAAATGTTTTATTATTAATAAAAGGATTTGTTGTAAATTATGCTCCATTGGTCTTTTTGTGTTTTCTACCCACCTTTACCTCCGTGATGGTGAGATATCGTGATGTCTTTACTGGGCTAGTGTAGCTCATTCCTTATTTAATCATTTCAGATCAAGAGGATATCGTTCTCGAGCCGGTTCCGCAGGAGGACGACGAAGGGGACGCCTAAAGACTCCCTAGTCACATTCATAGTTTTTTTCTTTCAAGTTTCTCCTTTAGGTAGTTTAATCTTTTATATTTTATGAGTACGTTTTTGGTTTTAGTGTAAGGGATGTTATTCAAATTTTGACTTCGCTTCCGCATTTGATATTTATAATATAATTTCCATTTTAAATTTCTGGGGTTGCTACACTCAGTTATTTATTTTTCGCTTACTTCTTTGATTTTTATTTATTCTTTTAGAAGAGACATTCTCGTAGCCCTATTGGACATTCTAAATTATTGTGTAAAGAATGTAAATCCTAAACTCTATTGTTTTGCTTCCGCATTCAATTCATGTCTTTATCTCCTTTTCAGTTCCGGACATTACAGTTAGGGTTTAGATTCCTTACATAATAATTTAGAATGCCCAATAGAGTTACGAGAATGTCACTCCTAAAAGAACAAACAAAAATTAAAGAAATAAACGAAAAGTAAATAACTGAGCATCCTAGGACGACCTTCATTAACTTTTGAAGGGAGTCTGAGTGGTGAACTATTCATAATCCTCTTATTGATCGCGATTTGGATCTTGGTTCTCTTCATCTGAAATAGTTAATAAAAAGGTAAACTACAGTAGCACAGTAAGAATATCATACTACTCACTGATACAGAAACTGAAGGTTGGTAAAAATCATAAAAACAATCAATGAGGCTCTTAATTTAAGTAAATTCATTTATCATAAAGAAAATTATTTATTGCATACTTACCGTTGCGAGATTTTCAAAATCAATTTTAGAGTGAATAACTCAAATAACATTATAATCTCATATTTAAGTGAGTAAAAACAATAACTTTTCCTTTTTATTTGCTTACTAATATCTCTGGGCGCCCATAGGGATGTTCCATTACACGTGAACCAATATCTAAACTTGTCAACTAATCGACTGTCCCATACCCCGTCCGGTATGAGTGCCAAAAATACCATCTATCGATATCCTGTCCGGTATGAGTGCCAAAAATATCATCCATCGATACCCCATCCGGTATGAGGTAATATTTACGGTAAGGTTCCCTATGTACCCGGTTCGTCCACCATCTCTTAGGATATCCAGTAAGACAACCATTCATTAATTCATATAATCAAACAATTTTCTGTTTGCATATTAATTTTTAATTTTATAAATTAACCATAAATCACACAAGACAAGTAATATATGCATCAAGAAAGTATAACTGAATCATTTAACCACTCTAGTATATTATCATGTATTTAAAATTGTAAAATTATACAATCAGTTAAATAAGACAAATAAATAAATAACTAACCGGTTCCGGCTCCATTAGTGACCTGTAATTATTCTCAAAAATTTTAAAATTATATAAAATACCATATTATTGATTATTAAGCTTCAATTCCATAACAAATTATAAGGTGATGGATTCTTACCCAAATCGGTATCCGAAATACCGAACTTTCTACTTTGCCCACTCGCAGTCCTCGGATTTTTTAAATTTTTATGCAAAGATTAAAACACGCTTCACGTATCTAAAAATATCCGAAAAATTCAAAATTGGTGTTAAAAATCCTTTTCGGCCAATTTCAGAGTTCCAGCACGGCAGTGTCGCCGTGCTCCGGCGACAACATCACCATCCACGGCGGCGGTTTACCTCAAACTGGCTATTTTCGGCCAGTTTTGGCCGCCTTTATACATATTCCTGTGAAAAAATACGTTAGGGGGTCTCGGTTGGCCGAAAAAATCAGAAAATAGAAACTTACCAGTGGTGGGATTTTTCAGGTATGGGGACTTCGTCGGCTCACCTTAGCGACTGAGATTTTTTCTTCAGTTAATCTGTAAAAAATAGAACAGTGAATACAATGGTGGAAAAATCCCACGAAACAGGAAACAAGAAGAGGCTCATCGGATGAGGTTGCGGGTTTTGCTCACGGCGGCTCCACTAGGTTTTGCCGACGGTTTTCGACTTACCCGCCGTTCGTTTTGCTCTGATACTGGTATAGGGGTGCTCGGAATCGAATTCTGAGCGGGTAGGACAATTTTTATCTTTTTTGGCGGTCGGCTCCTTTCTCTAGTAGTTCTTCTTTTCTGATGGGAGGCTGACGCCTAAGGTTCAGGTTTAGTGTGATGCGAAATATTTATATTCATCTCACATTAATCTAGATCATTCATTGTATTTGATCTTAACAGTTCGATCGCATCTAAAGAGGAAATGAATCTGGACTGTTCATCACGTTTAATCTCGACCGTCCGATCGTGCCTAAGGAGGAAACAGATCTAGACCGTCCCTACTCGTGGGATCGCTTCTGAGTCGTCCGATCGCGGGGCATGCGGATTGCTAGTGTGGCCTCTCGCGTAGCGCCGAGTCGTCGAAGCTGCTGACTGGGCGGTCCTATGTGGCCAAATTTTTTTTATTTATATTTTAACTCTTAGTTTCTGATTTATCTTTCAAAAATATCATCCGAACCCAAATTTTCACCCCCTTTCCCAAAATTACTTTTAATTTTATCCATAACCTATTTTTTATAATTAAATAAATTTATTAATTTCAAAATAGATTTTTATATATTTTTAGAATGTTAAAATTAATTACATGCCAAATTTCGGCACCAGATATTACATATATTTATATATTTAATTATCTATATATTTAAATATTTAATTATATATATTTTTAAAATAAAAAATTTGCTCAGATATACAATTATACTATTTTATCAATCTAAATAAAAATAACTGTCATTGTCAAACATTAATAAATTATTATTTAAATATGATTAATTTTAAATATTAATAAACTTTGTACATAGTCGTTCGTAAATAATATTAATGAACAGTCATGTAAGACATCCAATCAGGGCTTTTGGAGAAACAGCAATTAATGCGATGTTTACTTATATATTCTGATAAGAAGCTGTCAAATTCAATAAAAAGTAAGGATTTTTACCATTCTACTTAGCCATGTAGATGTTGGGTCATTTTCATTGCAGCTTTAACAACTTAGAATATGAAATATTATATATATATATGTATGCATACTATATATACATAACTACTGTATTAATTATCAGCTATGGAAACTCTGGTCCAAAACCAGTTTATGTCAGTATATGAAGAAACTAGTTGAATTTTGTAGTTGTTGAAGAATGATTTCAGCCCTGATATTATTAAAAAGAAACAAATATTAAACAGCCGGCGATTTTTGTTTGCTACGAGAAAAGCTTATGAACATATAATTTCCTGTATCATCTATATATACCCACTATATATCCCTCCCTCAATCAAGCAATAAATTAGTGAAGGGAAGAATCCGAAATCACCATGAAAGTTTTTCACTTCGTTGCAGTAATGTCTTCTCTATTGGCAGCCATGGCAGTCTCCTTTGCCTCTGCATCAGACTACAGGACTTCTGGGTGGGTACGAATGGCCCATCGTATGTATTGGTCTCATCGTACCACGAATTCTTTTGGAAGTTTCCTACATTTTCTCATTGAATCCACATTGATGATAAGTATTGAGCTTGTGTTAGTTTTATATTGATTTCTTAGACTGCAACTAATAAAGTTTTGTTTGTGTTTTTTATAGTGTTTGTGAATGGAAAATTCTGCAAAGATCCAAAACTGGCGACTGCAGATGATTTTTTCTTTTCAAGCCTTACAAAGCCTGGAAATACTACGAATCCAGTTGGTTCAAATGTCACAACTGTTAATGTCAACCAGATTTCAGGACCGAACACTCTTGGCATATCCATTGTTCGTGTGGGACACAAAAAAAGAAGGAATAAATTATATAAAAAGAAATTGTTTTTCATCACTATTTTAATCCAAATTTTATTTTTTAAATACTTTTATTTGGTTAATATTTGTAATTTTCTAAAATTTTAAACTAGTTATTCTTTTATTTTTAGATAGTCTTTTATGTATTATAGTTATTTGGTTTATAAATATTAAGAACAAACTATTGATATATTATATTGCATAATTTTATTATGTAAAAAACACTTTAATCAAAATATGGTAAGTTTTTCTTAAAAATAAAAAGATTTTCTTTGTTTTAAAATTTTAAACTCACTCGAGTTATTAATGATATGTGACAGGAGACCTTATATAAAATTTAATAATTACGTATTTTTTAATATAAAATTACAAATTCTACTAAAATAATTTCGTCTTTTATCAAACGATGAAATGCTGTGCTGTAATATTCTGTAACATCATTAAAATTAATTTTGGTAAATTAATGAACTATCTACACGCTTGATGATCATCCGTACGTATTATTTTCACGTAAAAAGAATATATCGTGAAAAAAAAAGTATAAAAGAAGCTGAAGATACAACAACATGATTGAGGGCATAGATAGATATATGGCCTTTTTTACATAGAATACAACTGCAATGGAGTTGGTTACTAAGAACAGCTTTCTATATATATATATATATATATATAATTATCCTTTAGTAGTCCATGGAGTCCTCAGCCAGTTTAAAGAAGTAGCAAAAAATTATACTAATGATATTCTCGGAGAATCCTAGGTTAGAAGGAAGCTAGCTGTAAGAAGCAAGCTATTTAATAAGTATATTCAAATTCTAGTAGATGATTACTAAGAAAAAATAATTTCTATAAATATAGAATTCACTTATTGTCTGTGAAAACTTTCAGTGACTTGTTATCATATTCTGATTACTTTCATGGGCTAATCGTTTTTCGATATCGTCGAGCGAGGATATGAAAATAAGTTATCTTTCATTGAACCTAGTCTTTATTGTTCCGGCCTTCTTCGTTTATGTATCTTCGCAAGAATTAAACTCCCCAGATGGTTCCACCGGTACATAACTTTCTTTTTTACTTCTACTTGCTAATTTATAAATAATAAGTTTAATCATTTCCTAATGATATTCTCGTTGTATAGATTAAATTTATAGTTAATATGTATTACTTCAATTTTATATTAAAAAAAATATGTAATTATTTAATTTCATATAAAAACTCTGTTAGAAATTTTTTTAAAAAATAATCTAGTTCTATATAATATTTTATTATAAAATGAAAGAAAGAATAAAGAGAGATTAATAGAAAAATTTAAAAAACATGTATTAATTATCATATTCATAATTTATATTTAACTTAATTTTCTAATAAGATAAATTATTCGATGAATGCAGCATGTGTTTTAGATTTCAATGCATACCCTTATAAGCCAGTTGGTGACTGTCTTCAAAACAACAAGAAAGTCCTTTACTGGAATAGCATTCCCTCAACTCTTTGCTGTCAAAATGTGCTCACTTCCTTCTCGAAAAGCCTAGCACTCCATGCGCATACCACGAATCATGGCAATATTTTCATAGAAGAAAATCTATGGACAAATTGTAGTGGCTCTTTTCATAGGCAACGATATGCATCTGTGCCATTGTGTGGCCTGGATAATTTTTTCTATGGAGGCGGTGAGTGCTCAAAACTCTCGTTGGAAGTAATTCAGAATAAGAAGACGTATCAAACAGCTGTAGCTTGGTGTTCTGGGTTTAATCCTTCATTTGATGATGCCTGCAGCGCATGTTATGCTGCTGTATCGTCTGCAATCGAGTCTATGCTTGAGGAGCTTAGAAGGCATGATGATGATAACGAGAAGGCAGTGTGTGGATTCGCTGTTGTTACTTCTATTGCTGCTACATTATTGAATGATTCGTATGCAACTGATGATTTTTATAGGTGTTTATCAGCTTTGGATGTGATTGGTAAGGGAAACAGACTGTGTCAACGCATGCTAATTGGACGAGAGATAGATTGATATAGTTTCTTTATGTATAAATTCTGATTCATGATTTTTTTTATTTATTGACAGAACCAGGTTATTTCAAAGTCAAAAGTGAGTATATGAAACTCTTAATTCCAGATTTTTTTAATTTGATTATTCTGAATATTGATTGAAATTGTTTAGCTCATCAGATATCCTCGCAAAAGCACTATTGGCAATAATTATCGCGACAATCACACTAATATTCATCCTTGTTCTGATAAAGTACCTCGCAACGAATAAGAACAAGAACAAGAACAAGAACAAGAGCAATATGAGAAGAAAAAGTCCTCTTAAAAATGTTGATGGCAAAGAGGTTACGTTTTCAAGCCTCTATAGATTTAACAAGGACGAGATTGAAAATGCAATAAACCTTGAAAATGGAAGACAATACCTAGGCCGAGGAAGTGCTGGGCAGGTTTATAAAGGTTACTTGCCTAGTGGGCAAGCTGTTGCCATCAAGCATATCAATAAAAGTAGCTCGTCTGATTCTTTTGTAAGGGAAGTTGAAGGTCTTTCCAGGATTCGACATCCTAACCTTGTTTGTTTATTCGGTGTCTGCATTGAGGATGGAGAACAATATTTGGTCTACGAATATTGTGCTGCAGGAAATTTAGCTCAACATCTACTAAGTAAAATTACTTTTCCACATTTTTTCATTATATCAGATTCAGAAGTATATTAGTTCCTGAATTAATACTAATCTATTGTATGTTTAAATTCAGGAAAAGATACTGCTCTTACATGGGAAAAAAGGGTAAAAATCTTAAGAGATTGTGCACTTGCATTGAGATATCTCCATCACTATATAGATGGATGTATAGTACACAGAGACATTAAGGTAATACAACTTAATTTCTAGCTTCATACAGTTTGTTTATTCTTTAATGTTGACATTATATATGCATATGGGTATTTTGTTTTGCAGCTTACTAATATCCTTTTAACTGAGAACTTGGAAGCAAAACTCTCCGATTTTGGATTGGCAAGGATGCTTGGAATGGAAGAAAGTAAAGTATTCACAGATGTGAGGGGTACCATAGGCTATATGGACCCAGAATACATGAGCAATGCCAAGCTAACATGTGCTAGTGATATATATAGTTTTGGTATTGTTACTTTGCAGCTTTTATCAGGACAACGAGTCATTGAACTAGATCTCGATGCCAGAGAACACCTCACCAGAAAGGTAATATTTTTTTCTTACGAGTGTCTATAAGATCATATTCATATGAAAATAACAGAGTACTGGTTTTGAGATTTAGGCAAAGGATGTGAGTATGGGAAGGCGACCACTTACTGACTTCGAAGATCCACGATTAAATGGAAATGTCAATAGTGCAGATTTCGAATCAATCTTGCACATTGCTGTTCTATGTATCGCAAAATCAAGCAAAGGTCGCCCCACCATCGATGTTGTCTTCGAGGAGATTGAGAAGGCTTGGAAGAACACAGTGACTGAAATGGTTTGTTTGCCAAATTTTTTATAGTTATCCCAACACACCCACAAACAAATACATATACAACTCTATATAGCTTTTCAAAACAGAGTGAATCACAGGGGATAACATCTGATTTTTTCCATTTCTTATGTTTGCAGAAAAGTAATGTGGAGATAAACTCGACAGAAACATCCATGGCCAAGTCTATGGAAGTGATTCCAGTTTGACACATCAAATTGAGCTATATCTTTTTGTCATTGATTCATACTCATATATAATTGTTAACGAGTATTGTATCATTGAAACTAGTGATGAACTAGGTTACTTTGTGATGTTTATATTACTGTAATCAAGTCTTTTTTCTACTTCACTCATTGTGATCAAGTACAGATGAGTGTGTTCTTTTATTGGCACAATTAGAGAAAATAAGAGCTTGAGCTCTTAATCAGCATTCATTCCTTTTAGTTTATAAATTCAAATTCAGGAGTTTAAAGTTAATTTTTTTTAAATGAAAATTTATATTATCCTGCAGTTCTCAATCCAAACTTTTTTAAAAAAGATTAAGAGACGTATCTAAATTATTCTTAATTTATGAAATAATGCCAAAATATATTTTTTAAATGATGATTAAATTCCTTAAAAAATACTTAATTTCTTAGGAATTTTAATATATATAAGAATTATAAGAATCATATAATAATTTCATGTATCTTAAGAGTTATGTTAATCTCAATTATTATTTCTAAATATATTCTTAAAGTTTACATAACAAATTAAGTTATAAATTAAGTTATATACCATTAATATTTATTTTAAATATTTGTATATTAATGATTTGAATTAGAAAGTTTTTGTATCTCTTTTAATCTATTAGCCCAAAATAATATCTAAAGCCAAGCAGGAACAGAGGAAAAGCTTGAGCCATCTTCTTTAAACACCCGAAACGACATCGTTTATATACAAACCCAAACGGCATCGTTTTTATCATTATTACTATATAAAATACCCAACATTTCGTCTTTCCCACGACACTTCATCCCCTGCGTAATATCATCCGATTCTGTCAATTCTTTGTCGCTTCTAATTCTCATTATTCGTTCACTTTTCCTGCAAGATCATCAGATAATCTGTCGAAAGAAAATGAGGAAGGAAAATCTGTATGTTTATGAAATTATTATTTCGAGTCGAGCTATACGTTTATGTATTATCGTTAAAAGAATTAGTTGTTTGTTTTTTTTTTATATTAATTTTATTATTATTGATGTACAAGAAATAATTAACGAATGAAACTTGTAAATAAAATTAAAATTAAAATTAAAATTAAAATTAAGGGAAAATTGCAGGTGAGAGTGGGGGAAAAGCGAGGCGCGCACGTCAAGGAGCAGAGAAAGCAAAGGGAAGGTGTGTGACGTGAGTGAACCGGCAAGTAAAGGGAGTAAGCAGCTACAAAACGACGTCGTAAGATCCAGATTGCCTGTTAGGCCCCACAAACCCGTTGATGAAGATCTCTACAAGATTCCTCCGGAGCTCCTCCGCTCGTCAAAACGGGTGCGTTTTGCCTTCCCCATTTATATAATTTTTATTTTATTCAAAATTTTCAAATTTTTTTTCTCTCAGAAAATTATGAATGTGTTTGTCATTATTGAGGGGTGGGGTATGTTTTTAGAAATATCAGTCAAAATGAGTGATTATTATGTTGAATGAATAAAAAATCACCAGATGCCAACTGAACCATTCAAATAAATTTTAATGTTGTTTTGCCGACTGACAATCCAGATGGGTATGTATGTATGTATTCTTCTGAAATGAATATATATGATATTGATCTTGCTTTTGGTATATATGGGTGTAATATGTTTGTTCTTAATTCAAATAAATATAGTGGTATAACTCTTTATTTCTAATAAAAAAAGTTAAAAGAATTCATGTGTCTTGAAATGTATATTACATATATAAATTTTAAAAAATTGGGTTATTAATTTAAATTTAGTTTAATTTTTTTAATTTATTTGGAACTAATATATATTTGTAATATGCAGAAGAAAATGCCAGGACTATTCTCATGCTTGGTACCGGCCTGTGCAACTTGAAATGGGTTTGATTGATTAATACAGAAGGTTAAATATGTAATTTAATGTTTAATTTATTAGTTAAAAGTACATTAATTATTAGTAATATATGGTTTAGTTGTAGCTAAGACCAAACTTATTCATGGATGAGATATGACAGTGAGACAATATTATTGCTAGTGGTGAAATGCTCATCCTGCTTTTTATCTTCCTTGGACTGAAACCAATACAGAAACAAACCCTAATACTAAAACTGAAAGCAAATCTGACAATCCATCTATATGAATATTTCCTTCATCTTCGCCCTCAAACTCACTCTAATCTTTCCTCTTTCAATGGCCATCAGAGAAAAGTCCAACTTGGTATTATGGATGCTGGTGGTTAACGGGACATATCAGATGAGAATGTTTGGATTGAGAGAAACTAATCCAGCAAAAGAAGATACCAAAGTCTCTAAAATCCAAAACACTTTTAAATCTGTAAAATCCCAAATATCATTGTATGCATAATTCAACTTTGCTTCATATGTAACATCCACCTGAAGAAAGAAAAGAAATGTAAATAAAAAATAATAAAATTAGAATTTAGATGTAAATAAAAGGAATTTTCAAAATTTAAAATTTTTAATTAATTTTAGGAACCAAAATAAAAGTATGTTAGAAAAAATGGGGTAAAAACATAAATAAAGGGAAATAAAAGAGGACAAAGGAAATCAGAAAAATTGGACAGCCTAGATCGGACCGCTTGAGGAGATCAGATGGAGGAGATTTAAATGAAAATGGATGGTCCAAGTCGAGCTTGTGAGATCCAACAGCTAAGGGAACATGTATAAAAGGGAAAGAGATTAAGGTTTCCTTCATTTGGGAGAGAAGTCGAAAAAGAGAAAGGGAGAAAGAGAGATAGGCGATCGGGGAGAGAAGGAAGAGAGGGTGTCACGTAGGGAAGCCGAAGGAGAGAAAAGAAAGAGGGAAGAAGAGAGAGGCCAGAAGGGAAGAGGGGAAGGGAAAAGAAAATAGAGAAATGGAAGGAAAAAGGGGGTGGCCAAGTGGGAAGAGGGGGAAAGCCATGAACAGCCGTGTAAGAGGATAGGAGAAGAGAGAGAATCGCGGAGGAGGAAGAAGAAGAAAAGGAAATCGCAACCAAGGAGCTCCGCGTGACGACGGAATCCAAAGTCGAATTGTCGCAACGTTGGTGTTCGAAAAAAATAATTGGTAAGTTTCGTCCCTTTCATCTCTATTTTCTGATAATTCTTTTCCTATTTTGTTAGATTCTTTTATTCCCTTTACTAATCGGTTTATAGGTTTGAAGAAATCACATCCGAAACTCAAACAAGCTAAAGAATCGCGGGGTGACTGAGAGAAGACCACCGGAAGCCAAACCGAGGCCGAATTGCTCACACCAAAAGTAAAACTATTTTTTTTTCGTGTTTGGTGGTTGTTTGAGCGGCGGTGGAGCGAGACTGGTGTTAGGCTGGCCGCGCGAGCTCGGCTGGGCGACCCACCTACGCCGGAACCGAAAAGGTTTCCTCGAGAATGGGGAAAACCTACCCATCATGGAAGCCAAAAGGTCTTTTGTAGGAATAGAGGTCGGAATTGCCTTTTGGGATTCTGATTCGTCGTTCGGGAAGCTGAAAAGTCTTCCTCAAAAATGAAAATCTGATATGCCGAACAGGAAGCTGAAAATTTTTCTGAGTATGGATCCCCAAAATTTCAGGGATTCTGTGGGTTGTCATTGGACCTCGGGAATCAATTAAATTAATTTTGTTTAGTATTTTTAGGTGTATTAATTAATTTATGTCGTGTGTACATAGGAAATTTGGACATTCAAGCGGATCCGAAAAGACGTGTATGAGTATAAATATTTTTAAATCTCAATCGGGTTTGAATTTTAAAATATTGCATTCATTTGATTAAATTATAAATTTTAAAATTTGAACGAACACTGACCCAATTTTCGATGAAAAAGAAAACCCAAATTATAACTAGTGAACCTAAGCAATTGAAAATTTATGAGGAGACGAAACTAGACGACGACCCAAAAGATTGAAAATTTATTTGGATTGTGATGAGATACAAAATTGAGAATTAAGAAAATTCATAATTAAGTGAAAAATTGAAAAAAAAAGAAATAAAATAAAAATATAAAAATAGAAAAGAAAAAAAATAATTGAGGTCGTGAAATGATCAATTAAATAAAATTTACAGAGAAACGGAATAGGAGGTAAATAGATAAGAATTTTGGAATGAGAGGGTAGGAGTGAATAGATAGGGACCTTGCATATCTTATCGTGAGAGGAGTGTGTGTGTGTGTGTGGTTGAAGTTCAGCGGGCATGGTGAACCTGCACATGGATAAAGTCTGAAACCTAATACATACGTAGATAAGTATTTGTGAGTGTGGGTCACCTAATAAACGTACCTACTATGACCATTATAAGATTTGTGTGTATGCTATCCATGCGATAGAGGGATCTATTTCGTCTTTCCTTGATGATGACATAAACGATATCACGTGATGAAACCTTAGAAGTGACCTTTCGAGTGTATATGTGATCTTTCGTGTGTATGTGATTATGTTTCAAGATGATGAATGATATTCGAGTATATCTATGTTCTTTCGAGAGTATGTAGATATATATTTGAGAATTGTATATGATATTCGAGAGAATTCAGAAATAGATTAGAAACATGTGAAGTGGCAAAAATAATAAATGAATTTTGCATTAAAACATCACTATTGCATTTGTCTCATTCTGTGTATTTTGCATGAAATCTTATTTGGATTGAGAGGATGAAAATATTTATTGAGTTGATGAAGCTCATTAAACTTCACCTTGATATTTTTTAGAGGAGAAAGAAGAGTCAGCACCACTGTCAGACGAGTAGAATCTGTAAAAAAAGTTCTTATTTTTATATATTTTGTGCATATTTAAGAAATTTTCGTTTTGTTTTATTAAACTCTAAATTTTGACCTTATATTTTGTATATATAATTACTGTATATATCACGTGGCATGATAGGTTATATTATATTTTGATATATGCATGTATATATTTTATGGGCCCACTGCATAAAAATGACATGAGCAGGAATTGCGCCTCATATTGAGTGTCAGGGCATGATAGGTGGTATCAGAGCCCACATTTCTAGAATCATCCATT